AGACAATTTTGTAAATACTCCCTAAACTTCATTTATTTTTAGTATTTTTCGCGACTACAAAGTTTAGATAATGTTGTAAATGTTTTTTAAATTTGACTAATTTTGATTGTGTAGTTATTAGTAACTTAGTAATTTAAGTAATTGTTCCTGAAAAGCCCCATTGGGGAGGTAACAATAAAGTATGTATGTATGTAAGCGAAAAGGTATCATTTCCCAAGGAATAATACGATGTGTTTTCCCGGATTGTACAATCCGATCAAATTTCTCTTTATGAATATCTTAGCACAGGGAGCAAGCAATCTTATTGAGTAGGAAGAGGGTAAATAAGGGAATGAAGAGAATGAATAGTCTACCTATGTCTCCTGTTGTCATCTCTTACGCGACCGTACATGGAAAACCGCTACCTACAAGTCCTGCGTAGCATTGTAGCGCTGAACTTGTACCTAGGTCTTTTCGGGCTGTGCAAAAAAAATTTTTTCTGCAATTTTTTTTTGCACAGTGCTAAAAAGCCTAGGTTTAGCGCTACAGTGTTACGCACGGTATGCAGGTAGCAGTTTCGCGTAAGAGATGACAACAGGAGACATTCCTTTATTTACTCTCTTCTTACTCAACAAGATTGCATGCTCCCTGTGGTTTTAGACTAATATATTTGCACGTTTTATTTCCGCTGACGACACATCTAACGAGAGCACTCACGTTCCAGTTTTCTGAATGAAATGGCGACTTCGGCGAGACTTTTTTCCATCTCTGAAGAAACCAGAAACAAAACTGAATACAGTTTGAGTAACAAATCAAGACTTGGAGCTGTTCAGGGCTTCAACTAGAAGAATAGCAAGTACAAGAACTGAATGCGTGTTTACAGAAGTTTTTTACCCTGTTTGTGAGAAATAAGGTACTTGTTGTGAGCCATCGTCTCCACTTGCCGCAGGCATCAAAAGATATCTTAAGAAGACAAACCACGGATATTCTACCTCACGGTCAGTTGGAAATATTTTACATGTGATTTTGCTGTACGTGGTGCTGCTGCAGTGTTTATTCTGACACTTATGACAAAGATGTGTAAAATTATATATACTAGAAAGCGAAGGGAGCACGTTCCGGTGATATTTGAACTTCCTTTCTTTTAATCTTCTTCCCTTCTCTCCGTTCGTTCTGTCGTTTTTTTCTTCCAATTTAGACTTCAGCCTTTTCGCAAATTTGACTTTGGGCCTGAATTAAAATGTTAAACCAAGAATACTTAAATGGAAATTGTGTAGTGTTCAGATAAATAGAAAATGCGGAGTAGTTTTCATTGTATTTCCACACGCGCGATAACCAAGTGTGTGGTAAACACATGTGGCGATCTACTACTGAGTTTGTTTCTCAGTTCCTGGGCGGATTTTAAAGGCACGAAGCTTTACCCTGTGGAAATGTAAAAAAACAAAAACAAAAATGTGAGGGCATGAAGACGCAAACTTATCAGTTCCACGTAAGTCATTGTATACTCAGAGCGACAATTCCAAATTAGCAATATATATATATATAGATGATAATTCAAATTAGCAACAGCAATGATAGGAATTTTCAAGAATATATGATGCCAGTTCTAAGGTCTAGATAACATCCACTGTGGTTGTGCAGCAAGAAGTCGCACAAGTCCCTTCCTAAATCTTCCTAAATCATATAGCAAGCTCCGAATAGCGCAAGATACCATAGAGGGGTAAAACGGTTACAAACCTTTGCTTTCGAACTTTGTCAAACAAGATTTGTCTCGCCCTTCTTTTCCAGAAGATCTCTGCAATCAGCGTCACGAAAGCAATGAGCATCCCCACAACCAGCACTATGTACACTCCCAACATGCTCATTATTCCGATACGCTTTCGAGACAGCGCTGAAAAAAACAAGTAAGAAGCAGACAGTTGGAAAACTCTCTCCTTCCATCTCTACTGCAAATTGTGGGATAAATGAGGGCAATTCTTCCGAGAACTGAAGTAGATTTGGAGGGCAATTACTTAAAACTGAACAGAGGTGTAACAGAACAGAGGTGAGTGTAAGTTGGTGACAGACCATTACAAAAGTGTTGGGCGAGCAAAAACAATCATTCCAATTGAAAGGGGAAGAGAAAAAAAAAACAGCGGAAGTTAAAGAATACTTTACGAAAAGTGGACCCTCGGCTGAAATCAGAAGTCCATTTAGTTAAACAAATACTTAGTATATGTTGCTCTCTTCTACCTGAATATAGCGCTGAATCTAATTTTCTTAACGACTCAATTCATCTTTCATATCTAAGAAATGCTCATGCTTCAGGCTACCCTTTTGGTAAAGAAGGCTACACAGTATCCTGTGAGACGTTAAGGACCTAAATATTTTAACTCTCTGGATGATGATAGCATGAATTCATGATCACTCTCTTGCCTATTTTGAAAAAAAAAAACATCTATATATATGTAGCAACTAACTTATTTTAGAAAATCCTATAATTTTTGTCTCCAGAAGTCTAACTTTAGCAACAGTTTTAAAGTCTCCACTAACGTTAAATCATTACTATTAAAAACTGGATCACTGGATATCTAAACGCGTCACGTGACTGAATATTCCCGAGCTAAAACTGGGGAATACCCCACTGACATCCCACTCAAAATAGCACGTATTGGGAAAAATATTTGAAGGATAATAAACACCATAGCCTCCATTTGGACATTATCTGTTCCTGAAAGCTCACTGTTCGCTTCTCGGAACAGATAATCTCCGCGGACAAACATCGGAGCATATTTCCGCGCCAAATGGAGGCTTTGGCTTATTTATACCATCCTCAACAAATATGGTAAGAGTACGCGTAATCTTTGGGGGGAGTTTTAAGTGTTATGTTATTTTAGTTTTCTATAATTTGAAGGCGTTTTTAATAAAACAGTTATTCCACTCGCGCTTGTTGGATATGAGATTGTAATAGCCAATGAGGCGCGTAGCGCCGAGTTGGCTATCTACCATCTCATATCCAAAGCGCGCTCGTGGACTAATTGTTCATTATCAATTTTGGTTATGACGTCACCAAGGCAGCATTGCGCGATGTGTTTTTTAGCTTTGAGCTTTTAACATTCCTATTCAAGCCAATAAAATCTTAAATATGGCTGACGTGGCTCCGCGGGAATCGATAATGTCACTGGTTACTGGAAAGTCCGAACAGAGAAGAGTTCTGAGAAGGGCAAGTATTTCTGTTCAACCGGTAATGGGAGATTATAGTTGCAGTGGAAACGTAGGGACTGTTGAGAGCACAACACAAGGTAAAAGGAATACTGTTTGGAGTTCACAACTTGGTAACAACGCAGAAAAACATGCTGGACGACAAAGTGATGAGAGTAATGAAGAAAAACTGAATCTAAAGCGTCGGAACAACTCATTGGAAGAGAGTCTTATTGACGGGGAAGGATCGCTAAAGAAAATGAAAATCACTGCTGAACTGTAAGATGGAAGAGTCACAGCTTGATTACGTACAAGATGGGTATTTGTTGAAAGATATCTTTATTTTTTCAGGTCTGTTCATAGCTAGCAATCCATCTATAGTGATCATTTTATCGCAGAAGAAATACCTTGTGCTGAAACATACAAACCATACCGCGTGACCTTTCCCACCCTCCTTGATGCCGCATGTAAGGAATCGAGGGCAGTTCAATTACTGGATCAGTCCACTCGGCCCGATCAGAAACTCACACTTGGACTTATCGGTATAATCGTGACTAACGGGATTATACTATTCGTGCATTTCATATCTTCTAAGTTCCTATCTTTTGGTTAAAAAAGGAACCGAAACTTCAATCTTACGCGGAAACGATATTACACGTTTAAGTAGCTCATCCTTTCTCAAGTAAACTAGAGGATATAATACATACTGAAATAATATAACAACTTACTTGTTTCTTCTTCTTCGGGACATTTATTTGCATCTTGCCACCATTTTCGTTCCAAGCTGGAGAGGAAGTTGTTCTCATGAAGCCTTAAAATGGCTAATTTGAATTCGTTAGTGTGCGGATCATTTGTTTGGAAAGCGAATGAGAGTCCTTTAGCTGTGCTCAAGCCTGGCACTAAAATAAAATATTTAAGAAATGAGTGCGAGTTAGAAAGACAAGTGAAGTTAACAGCATTGTCAAATAAAGGTGGTTGAGTTTTCACATAATCATTGTTTTATTCATTAGTATTTTGTTTGTTTGTTTGTATGTGTTGTTGTTGTCCAATGGGACTTAATGAGGTTTCCATTTGCAAATAGCTTACACCAATTAGTTTTTTTTCCTGCTAACGTTAGTCTAGAGCAGACAAAATCTTAAATTTCAAGAATCTGAATGAGATGGATTTTTATAGAGTTGATTTTCTGAAGAGAACGTCAAGGGTTCTTTTAAAACACTGTTTTCTTGCGTGACACAACGTGTAATCCCGAGTGGGTTGCTCAGGTAGCCAATCACAATCTTGCCTGCTTGCGGAGCTAGCCTTATATTAAAACGATTGAGTTAATAATTAGAAGGCGAGCTCGAGATTTCTATCAAAGCCAACAGAAACCTAGAGCGAGCTGGGCAGTCTAATTGTTTTTACCTAGCATGACGCACTGACCGACCTAATTAAAAAAAAAAACTTTTGTGACAGAAACCTGAAAAGTTGATGACATATCCATAGATAGACCAGCTGACGGTGCTGGCCTTTTGTAGCAAATCAGATTGCGCGTTTACCTGACAGTCGGTCAGTGAGTTGTGTTAAGCAACCAAGCTTTGAACAGTAAGGCACCATCCATCGCTTTAAGCAATAAAATGGTACAAACTTGCTGATTTGTACTTTTAGTGCTAAAGACGTCAAGTTGAGAAAATGCGTTCCTCGAATTAACCTCCATTCTTTCATTATTTATTTCAAAACGCTGGTGTGCTAGGAACATTTTGTGTACAAGCAAAGGTAGTAGGTTATAATTTTAGCCGGATGTTTTGACTTAAACTGCAGTAAAATCACCGTGATAGTGTCTCTGTAATTCTACTATCTCACAACTTCTGGACCGGATATATAATCGCTGTTTGCATTATTTACCTACTGAGACATCACAAGGTGGCTGGTTAGCCAACAGTCTGAGAAATGGCCCATCCGCGATAAACACGTGCTCCTCTTTTTCTCGTACCCACTTCACACCTTCCTCAACATTTTTAGCGAGGGTGTTCCCCGACTCAATTCTGTGCCAGATCTTTTTGTATGTCTCGTACTGACTTGTCTCAAAGAACTCGGACGTGCTTGAGGAATCAAGTACTGCTACTTTGTAAGAAGACTTCACAATGTCGTCAAGATTATGAATGGGATGTTCGGCGTTCTTCACCGTGAAAAAAGCAGCTAGATTGGCAGTGTAAGTTGAAACCCAGATAAGAATACAGAACCAGTAACATCCAGCAAGAATACGACCTGAGGGAAATTAATGTACCTTAAAGTATGTTACGTGCTGTTTCAAACATAACTGTTTATTGTTTCATTAGAAGTTTCAAACGCCCGAGAATATAATAGTACAAGACCACTTCAGCCTGTTTGAGTAGGGACACTGATGGTTCTGGAGGTAATGGTCTCCAAGTCTGCTTGATTTATGGCAACCAAATTTTCACAGGTTGACGCATCACTTAATTCAAATGTATTGCCAAAATGAGATGAACATCCACTATATGCAATACATTACCCCTATAATTTCACATTTTTCTATGTGAATTTAAATTAATAGAAAATATAAAAGCCATCGTACCCTCTAAGTTGTTCGTCTGGATAAGCAGGACTATTAAATCATGCAGGTAAGTAAGGTTTCCAGTGATCGAAATACCCCTGCAAGCCTCATCACATTCTCCTCTTAGTTTCTGTACGTATATTTATGACGTTCTCGTGACCAATATCAAGAAAGGGGAACCGTTTCAATAACTGAGACGGGACTTGCAAGTCTCATGGAACCCGTGAACAAAATTTGGTTTCATTCGTGTCTGCTGATAAAGTTTACGTAAAAAGAAAAAGAATCTAGTTATTTCCGCAAGTCCGCATGGGAACTTACTGCCTCTCTTGGTTGTGAAAAGAAAAGGTTTTCTGCCTCTTCAACAGGTAAAGGCTTACCATCACTCTACTTTTTTAATTTCAGTGTGAATCAGGAAATAAACAGTTAGAAAAAATGAAATTCATTTGCCTCTACCTGACAAACTTCTTGGTGTGTTATCACCTCCCTGTTGCAACATACAAGCCAATGAGAACCAAACACTGTTGAAAAAGCTAAACTCCTCCGATGTTCCTTTGCCATTTTCATCTTTGTATCCATAAGGACTGAAATAGTTTATTACAAACACAGCAATAGAGATTACAACCAAGGTTGCCAGAGTAGCGAACCAGACTTGAGGGTCGAACGGATTCATGAACTGCAACAAATCAATATTTTCTTTGGCAGATGCTTTTTTCAGTAACATATCTTCCGTGTAGAACATGTAAGGCACGCTGAAGTCCACAACCTTCTCTCGACTTTCAGTGAGAGTGAGTGCCGCAGCTATGATGTCAGCACGCTTTGTAAAGAAAAATAGGGGATCATGCTGTTACTCACTTCTACCAGTACCCTTAAATCCTCGAATTAGCGCCCGGGTCGCTTATTCGAGGGGGAGGGAGAGGAGGGGACACTTGTTTGATTTTTCCCAAATCGTCGTCTGACATGATCATTTTTTATTACATCATCTGCGCATAAATCGCAACATAAGCTGTTTATCGACATAAAAAGCTGGTCCTAAAGTTTAAATCCCGGCACCGTTAGTACTTGTAATTTTTTCAAAATAGCGTGTTCACAAACTGAAACAATATACAAAATCAAATGTTACACAACGAAAACTATACATCCTTTGTTGTCTCATTACTCGTCCATAAAATGGGGGTAGGGGAGTGGGGCATTTATGCGAGGGAGGGCGCCTATTTTAAATTTTGGCTGATAGGAGGGGTGTTTATTTGAAGGGGGCGCTTATACGACGGGGGCGCTAATTCGAGGATTTACGGTATTTGTCTCAAGTTTATCAATTATTCTAATGATTTTCTGTGAACAAAAACCAGAGAACATTGCACGAAAAAATATTTGTTATTCAATAAGATTCAGAATTATCCACCACAAGAAAGATCAGTTTTTCATCTTTTGCCCAAATCTGTAATCTTGGTTGCTTAAAATTAGCAGTGTCCTGGGTGACTGAAAACTGCCTCCACATCAAATCAAAGCAATGACCTAGGACGTGGTAGTTTTCGGTGGCAGAATCAGAAATTTCTCAATTTATCCCCGTCGTCACAATATTCTTATGGCCTTTTGTACTCTGCTCTGTACAAAAGTATAAAAATGTCCTGAAAATTGTTTGAAGCGAAGGAGAGTTTCTGTTCACATTGTAAACACTTAGAAACTAATACTGGGTTGGGCTGCTTTAGAAAATTTATGGGCCTATTGTTATGGCCCCATAAGTGCCCATTGGACTTTGAATGATTAACTACACTCTTAAGACAGGTTCAGCCTTGGTGTAAGTTATACCAGTAAGCACGCTTGTGAAGCAACCCACCAAAGCCATCTTGGTGAAGTCTGGTTCATCAATGATTAAATTCAGCAATAAATTAAACCAGGACTAGGTTGGATATAGGCTTCGATTGTTTGGGAAAAAGTACTCTTGAGTGATAAGACCAGTCGTGTTACCTCGGTTACAGTGATATAATAAATCATACCTCATTCACAATTTCTCCAATCATTCCATTCCAGGTTCCATTTTCCGTTTGAGCACCGTACATCCCGTCAGGGCTGACGTAGATCTCATATGTAAACTTAAGATTTCTTGCCAGTTCATTCAGCAGATCGATACAATATCCTTCATATGAATAGCTGCCATCTTCGTTCTCCTCCTTCATAACGAAAGGTGCATCCTATTTGGGATCAAGAGAAGAAAACAATCTAGATTACCCAGTGTTTGATAAGAAAAGTAAGCCTTTTAGAAACAAGATTTAAAAAATCTTGGCAACGACTGACGGCTTTTTTGTCTAACGTATGTGATATTCACACTATCTCCCTGGTAAAGTCACTCTAGAGGAAAACCTTAAATTTACCTGCTTTACTCCTCAAGAGAAAACGTGAGTTTAACTACCTCATGATCATCATGGCGAAGATTACTACTTCGAACGACAACAACGAAACAAGTAACATTGCTAATACCAGAACAAATTACACAGCATACCGCAAGATTTCCACTTGTAGCTTGATTCTCCTTGGCCTTGTCGTTAGCTTGTTTGTTTGTTTGGTTAGTAGGTTAGTTGATTTGCTTTTTTTTCACAGTTTGATTTGCCTGCCTTTGGCAGCAAAACTGTAGCACATTTTTCATTTGAAGGAGTTAATTTCGACAAAAGTAGACAGTTTTCTTCCAGTGCGACTTGGGTTCTACAGTCGATTAAATTTCACCGTTGTTTACCGGCAAAGGATGATATTTTATGTTACATAGTAAACAATTCATCAAATTGAGTAAGTTCAACGTCTAACTTTATATTTCTAGTGGTTCCTACCAAAGCTACAACAGCCCTAAGCTTTCTTCCCTCGAGACTTCCTTTGGAGAGTGGATTGTCCATGTTGCGTAAGACACTTCCAAACAGTACGGCACCTTTAGTTGAATTCCATGTACCTATCTAAAGATTAGATATCAAGTTTTATCGTGAATAAGGGTTGATTGGAATGTTATTGCTGGGAACAGAAATGTTCAGTTGGTTGTTATAATTTACAGGCATCGCAAAGCGCCTTATTACAGGAAAACCGACGTGTGGAAGCGAATTCATTTGTGCAGAAGTGTCTTGCAGAAAATCGTGCTTCCTCGGGAATATCGTTCGCAACTACGAACTGGAGAGGACCACTTTTGCACTGATACTGGACCCATATCATTCTAGATGGTGGATCAGGAGAAAAAATAAGAAACTGAGTTCACGTGACCTTACATATTCTGGTGGAAAGTAACATGGACCAATAGCAAGACAGTAAACATGACATTACCATGTCGGTAATTTAAATGACCCCTTGAATCTAGACTGGCCACGAGTTTATCAAGAATAGAATTTGATGGGACGGTTATACAAAGTGATCTTTTTTCCTTAAAACCCTAAGCCACGGAGCTATGTTAGAATTTGAAAACATTGAAACTGGCCTATTGCCCCACACCCTACCGGCATTAGCCTCATTTCCCTAGCCTCAATCGACAGCGAGGAAGTCAAGGCAGTATTATGATTCTTTTTAGTGCTCACACACCGATAATAAATATTTCCACTTTTACATGAGCGCTGCTACTCTCACGCACTGTGTATCATATTTTAATACCTGCAACCAATTATGCCACCTACTTTCTTGAACGAATTGTTTCGAAGATTCAGAATTTCCAGATCAGTTTTTTTTCGCTGCCCATACTCATTGAAGTTGACAGGTCCTGTTAAACCATCCAGGCTAATCTGTTCAATATAAATTAAAAGGTAAAGGGTTGAAATAGCTGCCAACTGGAAAACAACATTCTTAACAATTTTCTCAAATTGAACCAATCACAGTGCGCTTTGTACACAGGTTATTGTGTAAAACGCATTACGCAGACGTGCTACCTTTTTCAAGCAGGTCAACATTGCTTCTGTATCTTCTGAACTGATGAGAGATCCGTTAATCGACAGGCAAGGATCTGTATTTACCGCCTGGTTAATAACTTGGACTGAATCGTAAGCAAATGCAAGCAGTTCCTAAGGAAACAATGCAAATTTTGATGCAATGTAATCCATGGGATCAGAGATGATAGATTTTCTAAAGGGGCGTCTCTAGGACGATATTTATATAATATGGCAGCAAATCAAGTACACGATACTGATTGTAAACATATATTAAATTTACCTTGGTAGTTTTGTTATGATTACGTTCTAGTTCATCAGAAGCCGAGTTCTGAACATACGTAAGCTTCAATGATACTACCACATTCTGGTAACAGCTTAACTTCAAGGGTACCTGGAAAGTTCAAATTCAAACACTAGATTAAAATAAGTGTTATTACATCCCGGCATACGGATTATTTCGGCGCCATTGATGTTCCCTTGACTAGGTTGGGCTCTAACACATATTTAGCAAAAGATTACCGGGGTATATTCCACGAACTTGATTGGCAAGGGCTAAAATTGGCTATTCGCTAATCGAACACCCTTCTCGTATCGTTTTTCATTCATATTAAGAGTATATTGAGTATTTATAACGCAACTAATCTAAAAGTCTTCACTTTAATTTTTTATTACAACCATTTTGAAATCACTGGCGATCCTTGCAATCTGATTGGCTCTCAGCAGTGTGATTTATTCTCGAAGCGCACCATTTTTGTGCTCTTAATCGCATCTTTTTCCAAGCCAACGAGAATGGAACACTAAAAAACCAACCAATCAAACTTCAGGAAAGCCAGAGCAATTTATTCACGAATCACACTATTCTGTGCCCTGAATGGCATTTTATTCTGCCTTGCATACAAAATGAAATGTAATTGAGCGTTTCCGGTTCTGCTCTTTTTCACAAACCATATACTGCATCAATAAAGTATTGGTACTGACCAAGGCGATTACAAATGGATGTAATAGAGTGGCAATTGAGCTTCATGTCGTGCAATTTTGGTCTGCGTATGATTTCAGACCAAACTGCACTCCACTCAGTTCAGTTACTATTGTAACTCGTCCATCCGCAATAACACAAGAATCAACAGCTTCATAATCAATAAAGCTCTTCCTCCAGGCTCCTTACAACCACGTAAATTTAAGTGACTTAAACAAGGTTTACATCTTCTGAGCTCTGGTGTATTTGACCAATCAGACTNACCTGACAGTCGGTCAGTGAGTTGTGTTAAGCAACCAAGCTTTGAACAGTAAGGCACCATCCATCGCTTTAAGCAATAAAATGGTACAAACTTGCTGATTTGTACTTTTAGTGCTAAAGACGTCAAGTTGAGAAAATGCGTTCCTCGAATTAACCTCCATTCTTTCATTATTTATTTCAAAACGCTGGTGTGCTAGGAACATTTTGTGTACAAGCAAAGGTAGTAGGTTATAATTTTAGCCGGATGTTTTGACTTAAACTGCAGTAAAATCACCGTGATAGTGTCTCTGTAATTCTACTATCTCACAACTTCTGGACCGGATATATAATCGCTGTTTGCATTATTTACCTACTGAGACATCACAAGGTGGCTGGTTAGCCAACAGTCTGAGAAATGGCCCATCCGCGATAAACACGTGCTCCTCTTTTTCTCGTACCCACTTCACACCTTCCTCAACATTTTTAGCGAGGGTGTTCCCCGACTCAATTCTGTGCCAGATCTTTTTGTATGTCTCGTACTGACTTGTCTCAAAGAACTCGGACGTGCTTGAGGAATCAAGTACTGCTACTTTGTAAGAAGACTTCACAATGTCGTCAAGATTATGAATGGGATGTTCGGCGTTCTTCACCGTGAAAAAAGCAGCTAGATTGGCAGTGTAAGTTGAAACCCAGATAAGAATACAGAACCAGTAACATCCAGCAAGAATACGACCTGAGGGAAATTAATGTACCTTAAAGTATGTTACGTGCTGTTTCAAACATAACTGTTTATTGTTTCATTAGAAGTTTCAAACGCCCGAGAATATAATAGTACAAGACCACTTCAGCCTGTTTGAGTAGGGACACTGATGGTTCTGGAGGTAATGGTCTCCAAGTCTGCTTGATTTATGGCAACCAAATTTTCACAGGTTGACGCATCACTTAATTCAAATGTATTGCCAAAATGAGATGAACATCCACTATATGCAATACATTACCCCTATAATTTCACATTTTTCTATGTGAATTTAAATTAATAGAAAATATAAAAGCCATCGTACCCTCTAAGTTGTTCGTCTGGATAAGCAGGACTATTAAATCATGCAGGTAAGTAAGGTTTCCAGTGATCGAAATACCCCTGCAAGCCTCATCACATTCTCCTCTTAGTTTCTGTACGTATATTTATGACGTTCTCGTGACCAATATCAAGAAAGGGGAACCGTTTCAATAACTGAGACGGGACTTGCAAGTCTCATGGAACCCGTGAACAAAATTTGGTTTCATTCGTGTCTGCTGATAAAGTTTACGTAAAAAGAAAAAGAATCTAGTTATTTCCGCAAGTCCGCATGGGAACTTACTGCCTCTCTTGGTTGTGAAAAGAAAAGGTTTTCTGCCTCTTCAACAGGTAAAGGCTTACCATCACTCTACTTTTTTAATTTCAGTGTGAATCAGGAAATAAACAGTTAGAAAAAATGAAATTCATTTGCCTCTACCTGACAAACTTCTTGGTGTGTTATCACCTCCCTGTTGCAACATACAAGCCAATGAGAACCAAACACTGTTGAAAAAGCTAAACTCCTCCGATGTTCCTTTGCCATTTTCATCTTTGTATCCATAAGGACTGAAATAGTTTATTACAAACACAGCAATAGAGATTACAACCAAGGTTGCCAGAGTAGCGAACCAGACTTGAGGGTCGAACGGATTCATGAACTGCAACAAATCAATATTTTCTTTGGCAGATGCTTTTTTCAGTAACATATCTTCCGTGTAGAACATGTAAGGCACGCTGAAGTCCACAACCTTCTCTCGACTTTCAGTGAGAGTGAGTGCCGCAGCTATGATGTCAGCACGCTTTGTAAAGAAAAATAGGGGATCATGCTGTTACTCACTTCTACCAGTACCCTTAAATCCTCGAATTAGCGCCCGGGTCGCTTATTCGAGGGGGAGGGAGAGGAGGGGACACTTGTTTGATTTTTCCCAAATCGTCGTCTGACATGATCATTTTTTATTACATCATCTGCGCATAAATCGCAACATAAGCTGTTTATCGACATAAAAAGCTGGTCCTAAAGTTTAAATCCCGGCACCGTTAGTACTTGTAATTTTTTCAAAATAGCGTGTTCACAAACTGAAACAATATACAAAATCAAATGTTACACAACGAAAACTATACATCCTTTGTTGTCTCATTACTCGTCCATAAAATGGGGGTAGGGGAGTGGGGCATTTATGTGAGGGAGGGCGCCTATTTTAAATTTTGGCTGATAGGAGGGGTGTTTATTTGAAGGGGGCGCTTATACGACGGGGGCGCTAATTCGAGGATTTACGGTATTTGTCTCAAGTTTATCAATTATTCTAATGATTTTCTGTGAACAAAAACCAGAGAACATTGCACGAAAAAATATTTGTTATTCAATAAGATTCAGAATTATCCACCACAAGAAAGATCAGTTTTTCATCTTTTGCCCAAATCTGTAATCTTGGTTGCTTAAAATTAGCAGTGTCCTGGGTGACTGAAAACTGCCTCCACATCAAATCAAAGCAATGACCTAGGACGTGGTAGTTTTCGGTGGCAGAATCAGAAATTTCTCAATTTATCCCCGTCGTCACAATATTCTTATGGCCTTTTGTACTCTGCTCTGTACAAAAGTATAAAAATGTCCTGAAAATTGTTTGAAGCGAAGGAGAGTTTCTGTTCACATTGTAAACACTTAGAAACTAATACTGGGTTGGGCTGCTTTAGAAAATTTATGGGCCTATTGTTATGGCCCCATAAGTGCCCATTGGACTTTGAATGATTAACTACACTCTTAAGACAGGTTCAGCCTTGGTGTAAGTTATACCAGTAAGCACGCTTGTGAAGCAACCCACCAAAGCCATCTTGGTGAAGTCTGGTTCATCAATGATTAAATTCAGCAATAAATTAAACCAGGACTAGGTTGGATATAGGCTTCGATTGTTTGGGAAAAAGTACTCTTGAGTGATAAGACCAGTCGTGTTACCTCGGTTACAGTGATATAATAAATCATACCTCATTCACAATTTCTCCAATCATTCCATTCCAGGTTCCATTTTCCGTTTGAGCACCGTACATCCCGTCAGGGCTGACGTAGATCTCATATGTAAACTTAAGATTTCTTGCCAGTTCATTCAGCAGATCGATACAATATCCTTCATATGAATAGCTGCCATCTTCGTTCTCCTCCTTCATAACGAAAGGTGCATCCTATTTGGGATCAAGAGAAGAAAACAATCTAGATTACCCAGTGTTTGATAAGAAAAGTAAGCCTTTTAGAAACAAGATTTAAAAAATCTTGGCAACGACTGACGGCTTTTTTGTCTAACGTATGTGATATTCACACTATCTCCCTGGTAAAGTCACTCTAGAGGAAAACCTTAAATTTACCTGCTTTACTCCTCAAGAGAAAACGTGAGTTTAACTACCTCATGATCATCATGGCGAAGATTACTACTTCGAACGACAACAACGAAACAAGTAACATTGCTAATACCAGAACAAATTACACAGCATACCGCAAGATTTCCACTTGTAGCTTGATTCTCCTTGGCCTTGTCGTTAGCTTGTTTGTTTGTTTGGTTAGTAGGTTAGTTGATTTGCTTTTTTTTCACAGTTTGATTTGCCTGCCTTTGGCAGCAAAACTGTAGCACATTTTTCATTTGAAGGAGTTAATTTCGACAAAAGTAGACAGTTTTCTTCCAGTGCGACTTGGGTTCTACAGTCGATTAAATTTCACCGTTGTTTACCGGCAAAGGATGATATTTTATGTTACATAGTAAACAATTCATCAAATTGAGTAAGTTCAACGTCTAACTTTATATTTCTAGTGGTTCCTACCAAAGCTACAACAGCCCTAAGCTTTCTTCCCTCGAGACTTCCTTTGGAGAGTGGATTGTCCATGTTGCGTAAGACACTTCCAAACAGTACGGCACCTTTAGTTGAATTCCATGTACCTATCTAAAGATTAGATATCAAGTTTTATCGTGAATAAGGGTTGATTGGAATGTTATTGCTGGGAACAGAAATGTTCAGTTGGTTGTTATAATTTACAGGCATCGCAAAGCGCCTTATTACAGGAAAACCGACGTGTGGAAGCGAATTCATTTGTGCAGAAGTGTCTTGCAGAAAATCGTGCTTCCTCGGGAATATCGTTCGCAACTACGAACTGGAGAGGACCACTTTTGCACTGATACTGGACCCATATCATTCTAGATGGTGGATCAGGAGAAAAAATAAGAAACTGAGTTCACGTGACCTTACATATTCTGGTGGAAAGTAACATGGACCAATAGCAAGACAGTAAACATGACATTACCATGTCGGTAATTTAAATGACCCCTTGAATCTAGACTGGCCACGAGTTTATCAAGAATAGAATTTGATGGGACGGTTATACAAAGTGATCTTTTTTCCTTAAAACCCTAAGCCACGGAGCTATGTTAGAATTTGAAAACATTGAAACTGGCCTATTGCCCCACACCCTACCGGCATTAGCCTCATTTCCCTAGCCTCAATCGACAGCGAGGAAGTCAAGGCAGTATTATGATTCTTTTTAGTGCTCACACACCGATAATAAATATTTCCACTTTTACATGAGCGCTGCTACTCTCACGCACTGTGTATCATATTTTAATACCTGCAACCAATTATGCCACCTACTTTCTTGAACGAATTGTTTCGAAGATTCAGAATTTCCAGATCAGTTTTTTTTCGCTGCCCATACTCATTGAAGTTGACAGGTCCTGTTAAACCATCCAGGCTAATCTGTTCAATATAAATTAAAAGGTAAAGGGTTGAAATAGCTGCCAACTGGAAAACAACATTCTTAACAATTTTCTCAAATTGAACCAATCACAGTGCGCTTTGTACACAGGTTATTGTGTAAAACGCATTACGCAGACGTGCTACCTTTTTCAAGCAGGTCAACATTGCTTCTGTATCTTCTGAACTGATGAGAGATCCGTTAATCGACAGGCAAGGATCTGTATTTACCGCCTGGTTAATAACTTGGACTGAATCGTAAGCAAATGCAAGCAGTTCCTAAGGAAACAATGCAAATTTTGATGCAATGTAATCCATGGGATCAGAGATGATAGATTTTCTAAAGGGGCGTCTCTAGGACGATATTTATATAATATGGCAGCAAATCAAGTACACGATACTGATTGTAAACATATATTAAATTTACCTTGGTAGTTTTGTTATGATTACGTTCTAGTTCATCAGAAGCCGAGTTCTGAACATACGTAAGCTTCAATGATACTACCACATTCTGGTAACAGCTTAACTTCAAGGGTACCTGGAAAGTTCAAATTCAAACACTAGATTAAAATAAGTGTTATTACATCCCGGCATACGGATTATTTCGGCGCCATTGATGTTCCCTTGACTAGGTTGGGCTCTAACACATATTTAGCAAAAGATTACCGGGGTATATTCCACGAACTTGATTGGCAAGGGCTAAAATTGGCTATTCGCTAATCGAACACCCTTCTCGTATCGTTTTTCATTCATATTAAGAGTATATTGAGTATTTATAACGCAACTAATCTAAAAGTCTTCACTTTAATTTTTTATTACAACCATTTTGAAATCACTGGCGATCCTTGCAATCTGATTGGCTCTCAGCAGTGTGATTTATTCTCGAAGCGCACCATTTTTGTGCTCTTAATCGCATCTTTTTCCAAGCCAACGAGAATGGAACACTAAAAAACCAACCAATCAAACTTCAGGAAAGCCAGAGCAATTTATTCACGAATCACACTATTCTGTGCCCTGAATGGCATTTTATTCTGCCTTGCATACAAAATGAAATGTAATTGAGCGTTTCCGGTTCTGCTCTTTTTCACAAACCATATACTGCATCAATAAAGTATTGGTACTGACCAAGGCGATTACAAATGGATGTAATAGAGTGGCAATTGAGCTTCATGTCGTGCAATTTTGGTCTGCGTATGATTTCAGACCAAACTGCACTCCACTCAGTTCAGTTACTATTGTAACTCGTCCATCCGCAATAACACAAGAATCAACAGCTTCATAATCAATAAAGCTCTTCCTCCAGGCTCCTTACAACCACGTAAATTTAAGTGACTTAAACAAGGTTTACATCTTCTGAGCTCTGGTGTATTTGACCAATCAGACTGCAACCAACATTTTAAATTGTTGTGTAAAAAGGACAGCTCAATTTCAAACCTCTTCCTGAATAATCCACTTAGACGTGTCTCTGTGTTGACAAGGTTTCTGTGGCAAAATGAACAGAAAAGTGAAGAGAACTGTAATTATTTTGCACATTGACTGTTCCAAAACGTTCTGCAGAACATAACGGAATTTTCTTGGAACACCTGTCGTCACCAAGTAAACACGTCTAATTTCTTAAAATGTTTAACCAATCATGTAATGCTACTAAAATAGTTTCTTCAATCAAAAAGCATTTAAGGACGTTCGCGCTAATTGTTTCTGCGCATCCTTACTGCGCACGCAAATTCACATGCCACGTCAAACATGCGCGCGCGCGCTAAGTAATAAAATGAACGATGATAGGGCAGATGAACATTACCATAGCTTTGCCTGGATTTAACGATCTTGGACGTTCGGTGACTCCTATTTTTCTTTTGATGGATCACTTTCTCTACTGATTTTCTGCGTTTAGCGAAAAAATGAAGAAAATCTATCGAGTAGGAGTTTGAATTTTTTGTAAAATGCATCATCGAATTCTGTTCTTTTTAGCTCTTCGTTTATCTGTACGACAGTTTCAAATGCCTCTTGATAAGATTTGGAATTATTTACGCAACAGACCCACTTCTACTAAATACGTGTAACATCATTTGCCTCCATTGACTCACCTTCGGTATTTTGAACTATAAACCTCTGTAGACCATGCTGAATTGTATGCGCCAATTTTTCAAAATCAGGTTAGTTTTCCACACGCTTTATCTCTGAAACGAGGTTGGTGACCACCAGTTTTTTTTATTTTTTTAAATTTTTTGTGTGTGTTTCTGACACAAGTACAGTAACTCATTATCTGACTGCAGTAAAAATTTAAAAAAATATCTATCGACTGGAAAATTTTCGCGCGAACCTCCTTAAAGGCAGTGTGAGCAGCTAGCGTTCAACGTCTGCTTACGTCGAGTGACTGACTGCCTAGTAAATTTGTTGTGTGCTGAGCTGGAAAACTGAGATTCTGTGGGACACTGTTAGAAGTCAAGAATCTGCATGTTGATGGTGCCGATGATCCTAAATTCTGACTGAAAATTCCTAAGAAACTCTTCACTAACTTTTAGTAATCGATTGCTTATGTAATGATAAGCTTGAATAGGACAGACTGGATTACAATCGTCAAAAAGAGAACGGAAATAACAATTAATGAGATATAGATAAGAACTACCTGTTGTAACATAAGCTCAATTTTTTGTTTTTCAATGTAAAGTAGAATAATGTCAACTTCAAAGTCTTTTATTTGTTCCAATGCCCTCAGTACTGGTACAGAGGAATCTTCATCTTCATCCTGTTCAGAAAGCTGAACAAAATTTACCGTCATCCCTGAACTCCGGGAGATGGCAAAAAAATTCCCAGCTTCGTGCCACCGACTTGCTGTAAAAGTAAAACAAACAAATAAAAACAACAGCAATATCTTCATTTAACTTTAAGAGGTTTGCAGTAAAAATATTGCCAAGGAAACCTTACCGTCGTACACAAGTGCAATGTTTTTCCATCCAAATGTGTTCAGTATGGCACGCGTAGCAAGGGCGTATTCTTTGTATCCCGCTGACATCTGAATCGCTTTCTCACATTGATCAAAGGACCTACTGTCTCCATGGAAACGGATGAGAGGAATGCCGGTCACTGAAGAGAGTGTGCATGCAGACATTTTCGTGTTGCTTCCCTCAATGAGCACAATGGTGTTATGATCAAGTAAAGCTGAAGCTGAAATAATGACTTTTTTTCAAGATTAGTATTCATTAATTCTCGGCAACAATGCATCAATTCTACAGACATAAGATTTACACCATTTGGATGCAAACACAGCGCGACCTCGTTTCTCTGATTGGACAGGACTGAAAGATGTACATTTTACCCTTTATGAGCTTGGGCGAGCTCGTAAGGCAACTATCATGCTGAGAGGACCTATAATTTGATAGTTTAGTGAATATTATGATTTTATTGTTTTGCCTCGAGGTCGCGAAGACACAAGTCAAGTGGCATATAACTGAGGCGCCGTCAACTGGTCTATTTATAGGCCTAGAGAGAGCTCAATTCACTCATTATTGAAAGTTAGTATACTGGTAAATGTGTCCAAAGATATACTCGAGTGGATAGAATAACAAAACTGACCACTATAAAGCCAGTATTATTGATATTTAAGAGATCTGTTGCTATTAAGATGATTAATGTTTAATTATTTCTTTTATATATCTCACCTGTATCAAATAAGTTCGTGTTATCCGCCGATGTGTTGAACTCTTTTAACACAAGTGAAACATTGCTCAAACTTGTCCTGCTGCTGACGACAGCGTTTATGACGTCATACTCATCTGAATGTCCATTAACAAAGCCTACATAGAACCGAACAACAATTATCCAGTTGAAAGCTGCATGCTTCATTATTGTCTTTTGTGAAATAAATGACATTTACTTG